CCTCACCACTCTCCCAGCCTTCCGTAAAGCGACCAAAACCTGGCTGTTCCGGCAGGCCTGGGGCTGTTGGTTAATTTCCCGCCCCCCTTTATGGAATGGGTGTTGTATTGATTTTAATTCTGTATTTTTAAATGTTTTAAATGCTTTTACTTGCTGTGAGCCGCCCAGAGTCCCTAGGGAGTGGGCGGCATACAAATCCTATTAAAGTTTAAAGTTGTCAGAACGTCACAAAAACTGATCACATGACCCCAGGACACCCCAACCGTCAGAAGTACCTGCCAGTTGCCACTATATAATTTTGAGCACGTGATCATTCCCGTGATCGCGTGGTCAAAATTCGGGATAAGCAAAGTCAATGGGGGAGCTGGATTCACTTAACGAACGGGTTACTGACTTATCAACTTATCAACGGAGGCAAGAAAGGTCACAAAACGGGGCAAAACTCACCAAACGTCACACTGAACAACAGAAATGCGGGGCTCGGTTGTGGTTTTAAGTTGAAGGCTACCTGTACTCTCATCCCAATGATCGTCATAAGTCAAGGACCACCTATAACGCGCTAAGGGAAGTTAGAACTGGTCTGCCACTTACCTCAGCTCAGCTGTTTCTCCTGAGCTTCTTAAAGTTAATCTGACCAGGATGGACTAAGATCTCCTGCTTGAGCAGGGGGGGTGGACTAGAAGACCTCCAAGGTCCCTTCCAGCTCTATTCTCATTGATTGATTAATTGATCGATCAAAATGGGATAGGGTCTCCTGCTTGAGTGGGGGTTGGACTAGATGACCTCCAAAGTCCCTTCCAGCTCTATCCTCATTGACTGACTGACTGAAATGGGATAGGATCTCCTGCTTGAGCAGGGGGATGGACTAGAAGACCTCCAAGGTCCCTTCCAGCTCTATTCTCATTGATTGATTGATTGATTGATTGAAATGGTATAGTGTCTCCTACTTGAGTAGGGGATGGACTAGAAGACCTCCAAGGTCCCTACTAGCTCTATTCTCATTGATTGATTGATTGATCAATCGATCAAAATGGTATAGGGTCTCCTACTTGAGATGGGGATGGACTAGAAGACCTCCAAAGTCCCTCCCAGCTCTATCCTCATTGATTGACTGACTGAAATGAGATAGGGTTTCCTGCTTGAGCAGGGGGGTGGACTAGAAGACCTCCAAGGTCCCTTTCAGCTCTATTCTCATTGATTGATTGATTGATCAATCAAAATGGTATAGGGTCTCTGCTTGAGTAGGGGTTGGTACAGTGTTTTTCAACCTTTTTTGTGCAAAGGCACACTTTTTTCATGAAAAAAATCACGAGGCACACCACCATTAGAAAATGTTAAAAAAANGATAGAGATAGATAGATAGATAGATAGATAGATAGATAGATAGATAGATAGATAGATAGATAGATAGATAGATAGATAGATAGATAGATAGAGGAAATGTTAATGTGGAGAGAATTTGACGATGAAGATGTTATGTACTGTTGTAATTATGTTGATATATTATTAACATTATTGTGATGAATATATTAACAATTATTATAACATTAATATTATAATATTAATAATTATTATAATAAATATGTGGATTTTGATTTCACATTGTTCCGGTAGAAACGGAGAGTAATATAAATAAAATAAATAAAGTATATATAAAAAAAAGAACGCTCAGACTGACACGTTGCTTTAAATCTCCGCAACCCACCCTGAGGACTAGAAACTTGAGGCTTGGCTTTTAAAATGCAGCCGTCTTTTTTTTTTTTAAGTTTCCTTTTCCTAAAAGACTTCCCCGCCCCCGCTTGGCATGTCAGCCCCCAAAATGCTCCGCGTGTGTTCTTTCTCTTTGTGCGTTCTTTGAAAACTCTCGGTTAGGCAAACTCCGTGGGTTCGAATCCCACGGAAGTACAACTTGTTTTTTCCGCAGGTTCAAACTGTCTGAATTTTTGACAAGCAACATTTTGCTCCCGGCGGTGTTGGTGGTGCCAAAATCAACCCAGCCTCACCGACTCCGCCCGCGCCCTCCCCCCAGCCTGGTGTTAATAAGACAAGCGGCTAGTCCAGCGTGTTCTTCCTGCACGTCAATCTTCCCAGATCCCAAAGCTGTACAGAAAGTCCTTCCAACCGCTTCACTGTCTTGGACAGAGCCAGCTCACCTGAGCTGTTGCAACGTCCAGAAAAAGTTCCAAAGCCAGAAAACCCTTTGCCCCGTAAAACCCCGGAAGGAGGGGGGTGGTCCCTGAGCTTTTCTTGCAGACATTTCGTCACCCAGCTAGGTAACGCCATCTGTGCTTAAAAGGGAAAAGGGACAATTTGCTGCAAATGTCCCTTCTTGCAGTGAGGATGTTACCGAGTTGGGTCAGGAAAGATCAGTAAGAAAATAAGCGAGTATGAAGAGAGGGGGGTTGCAGGGAGCAGGAAGAGGAGGACTGTGGGGTCCTTGGTGATCTCTGAGCCTGGTGGTTTTCTTCCAGACGCTTCATGACCCAACTAGGGAACGTCATCAGTGCTAAAAGGGAGTGGCATTTGCAGAGAGGAGGACAATGATTGTGAGGTCCTTGGTGCTCTCTGAGCTTGGTTGTTTTCTTCCAGACGTTTCATGACCCAACTAGGTAACATTATCAGTGCTAGAAGGGTGTGGTGAAGAAGGAGGAGAACTGTGGGCTCCTTGG